TGTGCCCTGACTGGGAATCGAACCCAGGACCCTTTAGTTCGCAGGCCGACGCTCCATCCATTGAGCCGCACCAGCCAGGGCAATATACTAGTATTTTTATTGATTTCAGAGAGGGAGAGAAACATCCGTGATGAGAGAGCATCATGGATCGGCCGGCCGCCTTCTGCACGCCCCCTACTGGGGATCGAACCTGGAACCCCTCAGTCCACAGGCGGTCACTCCATGCACTGAGCCAAACCAGCTAGGGCGATCACTATCGTCTTTAAAAAAAAAAAAAATTTTTTTTTTTAATCCTCACCTGAGGAGTGAGGATATTTTTTTTCATTGATTTCTAGGGAGAGTGGAAGGAAGGAGGGGAGAGAGAGAGAGAGAGAGAGAGAAACATTGATGTGAGAGAGACACATCGATTGCTTGTCTCCACACGTGCCCTGAGCAGGATCAGGGATCGAACCTGCAACCCAGGTACACATGCCCTTGACCGGGAGTCAAACCCGAGACCCTCCGGTGTGCGGACCGGCGCTCTAACCATTGAGCCGCGCCAGCCAGGGCGATCACTGTAGTCTGTCTTACGCACCTGCCGTGGCTGAGTGCTGAGTCCCAAGGAGACAAGTGCACAATAGGAGCCTCCGCACATGATCGGTATAAAGAGGTGACACGTGTACATGAAAAAGTATTACATTCGTTAAAACGAATCTCTAACGAGCAGGTGGAGGCAAGTTTTGCCACTGACACGCCTTCCCAGGCCCTCCTTCCTCTTCTCGGTAAAAGTGCAAGTCAGCATCTTACCGCACACACCATTGCAAGCTGCCCTTTGCCAACCCCCACCCCCCCAAAAAAACAAACAAACACCAAACTCATAAAAGAGTCATCTCCTTGTCTCTCTGAAAGCCATCGCTTAGCAAGTCGCTATTACTCATGGGGCATACACTAAAGATACTAAAAACAGAGGATCAGAAAGCATTTCAGAGGCACGAGGACGCTTAACATCAGCGTTGAACAGCATTGACCTTGGTGCCGGACAGACCTGGGCTCCAGGCTCCGCTCTGCCACCTCGTGTGACCTTGAGGAAAACCACTGAGCCAGGCCCGCCTTCCTTGTCTCTCAGTGGGAAGAAATCACACTGATTCACAGAGTTTACCAGTACACGGCCTCTGTGTTATGGCCACGAGGACTCGGGGGCAGAGCCGGCCACGGCACCATCCACTCTCACTCTGGAATTTGGGATTTAACAGTTTGCAAGGTTACGTAGACGTTTCGTGGCGTAACTGACGGTGAGATAAACCCCGGGGTCTCTACTAGGAAGGTGAGGTCATATCAGTGAGATGTTCCACCAGGGGGTTCTGGCCCCCACTGTGTCTGGACCCCAGCCGTCGGGGGAAGGCCTGCAGACGGGCATCTCAGCATTGGGGGTGATAATCAGTTTACAGGTTTGTTAGTTTTTTCTCTTTTTTTTTTCAGTTTATAGGTTTTTGAAGGCAGCATGGTCACATATACAGTTTCCACTTTGACATGACGTTCAAAGGCGTTCCCAAGTTAAAACAACAGCCATGAGCCGTGTGAGTGAGTTAGGGAGTTGCTATAAACAGCTAATGTTAACTTAGGAAACTTGTAAGTCGGTGCTATTGCATCAAAATGCAAAAAGAAGGCTAGGCCTGGAATACCACCAGGACGTCAGTAGTCACTCAATACCGAAACCCTTACCAAGCAGGTTCTGCAGTCAGAGCCCCGTAAGCTTTTCCAGAGCGAAAGGAGAGCGCTGGCCATAAAGCGCAGTGAGTTGTGGGTTCACGAAACGATGCAGCGACTACAGCACCAGGGGTGCCACAACGTGGGCCAAGGGCAAGCAGCCTCTAGTTGTGGAGTGAGGTTTTTTGGGGGTTGTTGGTCCTCAGGGTATATTTTTCCCGTTGATTTTCTTTTTAAATATATTTTTATTGATTTTTTTTTTTT